TTCTTCTTCTTCTTTTTCTTCTTCTTCTTCTTCTTCTTCTTGGTGGTGGTGGTGGTGATGATGGTGGTGTTGGTAGAAATGGTGGTGTTGGTGGTTGTGATGGTGGTGATGGTGGTGTTGATGTTTGTGGTAGTGATGGTGGTGATGATGGGCGGGGGGGAGGGGTGTTGTCTTTTTTGGAGGGAGGTTGTGGTGGTGTTTTGTTTAGTTTGTTGGTTGTTGCTGCTTTTCTGCTGTTGCTGTTGTTGTTGCTGTTGTTGTTGTTGTTATTGTTTTATTTATTTTATTGGGGGGGTGACGTTTTACTCGAGTTGGTTATGGTTATGCACCATTTGAGAGGGATTTGAATAGTAAGATTTATGGACGGCAAATGAAGAATGCAGGGAGTATGCTACTAATTATTATCATAAGATTACTTTTTCACTGTACTGTGTGTAAGCAGCACTGCAGGCCGGACTGAGACGAACACATTGGCACAAGTACCGGATTCTGCGGTGTATGCCTAGCAGTTAGATTAAGCGCTTTGCTGTTGCATGCAGGAGATCCGAGTTCGATTCCGGAGTGGAGAGATGTTTTTTTTAATCGAGTGTCTCGCTCGATTTTCCTGCTGGGATGATATGTCCCTCCCATCCCGGGGTGGCCCTTGGAGGCAGGGTCGGAGGCCCGCCTCCTAAATGACCTAAATTGTGTCGAAGGGGTGTAAAAACACCTTTGATTTAAAAAATAGACACGCAAGGATGAATGAACAGAACTATGAATAAATGGATGCTAGAAGAAGGATGGAAGGAAGGAAGGAAGGAAGGAAGGAAGGAAGGAAGGAAGGAAGGAAGGAAGGAAGGAAGGAAAGGAGGAAGGAAGGAAGGTTGGAAGGAAGGAAGGAAGGAATGAATGAAGGAAGCAAGGAAGGAAGGAAGGAAAGATTGTTGTTTTAATGACCAAAATACAATCAGTCACTTTGTTGATAACAACAAAGATGGTGTGCGATTTTGCCAACTTGGTTGACAGGATTTTTCTTATTTCACATTTCAGTTACTAAGGTATATAAAAAGAAGTAACCAGCAGTCAACAGTTATACACCTACAGTACGTCTGTAGTAGTAAAAAGAAAGACATTCATTTGTTAAAGTAGAAATAGTGTTGCCAGATAACTTATAAGGCAGATGATCTCTATCTCTCTCTCTCTCTCTCTCTCTCTCTCTCTCTCT